TCGCTACTGCAGTGTATGTGCCTCGACCCAGCACACCCATACACGAGTTCATTACGATCAACTGATAGCTGCAGCGTGCCGAAAAACAATGTAAAAGCTGGGCAAAATACACCCAATTAGGACTTAACTGAAAATAAAATCACGGCACAAATCTCTTTTTCTGTTCTTCCTCTTATCCGCTGCCCCTTCCCGTTGCCGCACCAGATGCTGAATGTGCGCTCCTACTGCTTTGTGCAACCCCCCACCCTGAGAACTTGTGATGCAACTGCACTGAAATCAGCATACGCTGAATGATTTTACCCAGGAAGTGTAGAAACGCAAGACGAAAATAACTGCGAGACGGCCGGGAAAGATCAGGAGGAGTCATTCTCGTATTCTTGGCACCTCCATAAGGAAAAGTATCAAACAATGAGGTGATCGTCGATACCCATATGACTTGTTCCTCGTATTGCTTGCACTCCGCTGCGGAAATAGAACCACCCATTCTTCGCACCTCCGTAAGGGAAACGGAATAAATGAATAATGAGGTGGTCGTCGGCATCCATCGCACTTGTTGCTCGGGCTGCCTCCACTCTGCTGCAGAAGCAAAACCACAACATCGAAGGCGGCAGCAACAACAACAGCACCGAGGCGGGGGTGGATGGGAGTAGTAGAGCCAGATTGAAGCGCCTCTCAATGGACCGTTTCCTTCTGAGGATAAACTGCAGCCAAACTGATGTTAACTGGCCATCAGCTTACGAGCTGAGTACTGTGGCAGTGCCCTCATGCGACGGCGAGTGGAGGTAGAGGTGGGCTTTTACGTACAGCAACACCTGCACCAGCGCGCCTTCGGTGTTGGGAACTGTTATGAAGTCTACTGCTTCCTTCGCGTCGTCATATCCGTCCTTAACCGCCACTGCTGTGCCTGCTACTTTGAACATTGGCAAGTCGTTGTGGGCGTTACCTACAGCTAAGACTTCTTCCGGCGAAATCCCCAAGACCGCAGACAGAAGCCGCAGTACCTCCCCCTTGTCAATCCCGGGCTGCAACACTTCAAATGCCGTCGGGCGACTCTGCGCAAAGCCAATTGAATCCCCCAAATCCGCCTCCAGTCGGTGGCGAACGCTCGCCACCGCGCTAGACTCCCCCTTCAACGTGCACTTTGTGCACGCATGAATGGACGGGTAAAGATCCGGATTCCTCTTTGAAGAAAACCAGCGGCCCTTCCGTTATCCCTACAGCCTTGTCTAACAACCCCGCTTCCTTGATAATTTGGAGGATGTGCTTCAGAGTGTCGTGCGCTAGGGGACTATCCCGCAGGACCTCTCCCGCAGGCCCCAGGACATACGCATCATTCAGGTAAATTCCTGGGAAGCCCGAAAAATCCATCTTTTCCAGATTATTTTCTCCCAGAAGCTCCTTGATGTTCGTGCGGGGGCGGCCAGTGGACAGCGCCACTTGAATGCCTCGGGAGTGTGCCAAGCAGAAAGCCTCCACGTTATCTGGTGGAAGAACGCCATCTTCGCCTATGAGAGTGCCATAGAGATCACTTAGGATCAAGTGTGCGGGTTTTGGAAGAGGAGGAGAAGACCTGGTTGGACCCTCTTGCAAGGGGTGTACTGTGGATTCCCCCGCATTTGCAGGGGACACAAAGGTGGCCAAAGATAGGCAAAGCAAAGGTAACAAGGCATTGCTTGGTCATAAAAGCTCATACACGCTATTATTTCTTAAATAATGTAAACCCTCTTGGGAGACACGCAGCGCGAGTGCTCTGTGAGAGACATTTGAACCCCAAGAGTGGCCCAGAGCGTGCCAGCAGAGCAGCACGTTTGCTGAATGTAGCAAATTAATGAGTTATTAAAAAGTCCTAGAAATATTCCCTTCAGTTAGAGCGTCAAAGCCATACATCTCCATGAGTGGAGTGTGTGTGGCACGCTTCAGGTGTGTCGACCACTGGAGCCTAAGCGGGAGGGCCCGCTCTCGACCGCATATCCATAGCATCTGTATTTAGCCTTTCCAGTATTACCATTCACACACGGGGCTCGGAGAACTTATTTCACGCAAAAAAGGGAAAATTTGTCCGTCTACTGGTACGTATGGCCAAAGGCTGTTGCAACCCCTGAGTTGTAGCATAACCTGCGTGGCAGGTGGCACTGAAGGTGGCACACGAACCTAACTCAGCTCCTTATGGGAGACAGTACTCAAAGAGAAACTTCCAACAATTCTCTTCGGTGTTTATGCATACAGCCAAGAAGGCTTTTTTTTGTTCTCGTGCCTTGCTATGGTTTGCAGCTTGTGTAGCAGAGCCCGTTGGCTACTCTGTCTGAAGTGGGCACACGAACCTTACCCGGGCCTAGGCAAATGGAACGCAAGCACAAGCTCTCACAGAGTGTCTGTGCAGAAACCCAAGAAGGCCTGCTTGTGCTCGTGTGGGGGGCTCTCTTGCGTCTTGGGGAGCAGCAAGATGCTTGCAAATCCGGGCTGGCCGCCTCCTTTCCCGCAGCTCCAGGCGTTTTAAACACTGTGCCCAGGGCGTCTGGAAAGTGGAGATAGAGGTAAATTGTATTTAAGGAACCCTTATCTTGAGTTTTTGCACATAGTCGCCTACAATACTCCTCGGATAAAATCCAGGCCCCCGCTCTACACTAGATAAAAAGGCACGACAAAAGGCATAGTGCAAACAAACAAGCTATTTTCCAACTCGTAAATCCCTGACACACCAGGCAAAAGCTTGAAATAGTGATGGTGGAAGAGTTTTTCGATTGTTTTGTCGGATCACACAGTACGACTAGGCGGTGTAGGTAGGGTATGACCAACACAGGCAGGGGCGCATCCTCCCGACGTTCTACAGATCAGGCCTTTGTTCTGCAAATGCAACCACATGAGTAAGTAAGGAGTAGGGTGAACGCAATTTTGAAAGGAAACAGGATTCATTACTCGTTGCCGCAGTTGTCCCTAAGCAGGGATGTACGAGGAAACACGTATAACAGAAAACAATAGGTACCCCCTCCACACTGCACAAGGAGACGAGGAGAGGACGAAGTTCGTTGGACAATTTGACAGATTGTCTGCTCTCCGTTATCGGGGGTTAATGGGTTCTGCTGCATCATCTACTCTTCCTCAGCTCGGAGATGTTATACCGCACATGTTGGTTCTCTTAAGCGATTCAACGAATCACCGAAATGCCCCCGAGCTCTATCAGCAAAACGTCAGCAGCGATGTCTTGGTGGAAAGTCACAACAGAAGGAGGCTGAGATGCTAAACACTCGTGTAACAATTCGTAGAGGCCAAGGAAAGCGAGAGTAATACGTTGTATGGGCAGGCAAACGCCAATTGAAAAGGACTCTGAGGACTGTTTCAGCAATTCAATTCCTTGTCAATGTCTAGAGGCAACCCTTGACTTTGCGGCAAGTACTGCCAGCACGGGTGTGAACCGCGCAGCCTAATGCTGGGACTTGTTTTAGTATTCGGTAGCCGTTCTTGTTTCACGATTGACCAGTTGCATATTCCGCATTCGCTGTGCTCTGAGCCGCCAAGTATCCGTTTTTCTGTGATCTAGTTTCCCGCCTCTGTGTACAACGACGTTGAAAATTTGATAGCTGGGGTTTGGAGTTGGGCGTTGCCGCCTCGAGCAGAAAAGGTTTAAAAGAGGGATGCGAGGGGGCTCCAACTCCTACGGCACGCCCGGATATCGAGCCAACCGTCTTCACGCGTCTGACAAATCCCATAGTGCTACTACCGAGTGTGTCAGTCTTAGTGTCCTATTAGTTCATGCAACTTAAGATGTGGGAGCACGAGAGCAACGTCCTCCTCTTGCTCGCCTCGTGCCATTATGTGCCATGTGAAAACCCCGAATACGATGGCTCAGGCGGATACAGTCAGTGCTAATTTCGCCTTTTACAAACGACACTGTACGTTCATTGAGTCCCAGAACGTGTGTGAGCACTTGTTTGTTCTCCTTTGC